ATAAGGTAAGTACAGACATTAAAAGTGAACACTGAGGGCCAGGTGTGGGGTGCAAATCTGAAATCTCAACTACTCAGGAGTCACAGATACAAGTACAACAGTTCAAGGCCAGCCCAGGCAAGTTGGAGCAAGATCCCATCTGAAAAACAAAGTGAAAACACAAGGATTAGGGTGTGCTCAAGTAGCAGAGCACTTGTGTAAGTGTGAGGCCCTGACTTCAATCTCCAGTCCCACTAAAGGGAAAAAAATGAACACTTAAAATCAAACTGATTGTATGTGCTGAGTCTAACAATAAAATATTTGTGCTGTCTTCCTCCAAAGTTGTAGTATTATCTTGTTCATGGGGGGAGGGTGCTACAAAAATGTCAAATGAAATTTAATCATTCTGCAAGATTAAGAATTAGAGTTATGGTACAATTTTAAGCAATAGCAAGCAGCTGGGGAATACTGGGCATAAGACCCTTCCTCGTAGAGGTGAAATCATCATTGATAAGTTCCCTTTGTGCCAACACAAAATTTAGCTCCAACAAGTAGAGAAACTTTCTGAGCTATTCTTCATTTGCAATTAAAATATTTTAGGTTTGCCTACATAAGAACATGAACATGAATGTATTTATCCTCTGAAATAAAGCTCAGTAAATACATTGCTTATGAATATGGTTTTAAGAATTATCCACAAACAGCTTGACATTTTGCTACATTTGTTCAAGAGTATAAGCTGATCCTATAACTGATCCTTAAATCACTTCCTGTCTCCCTCCAGGACTAATTTTCTTTCCTCCCAAAGGCTTTTACACACATTAATGGATTTTTCTGTACCATATAAGAAAATAGCAACATGGCACTCTGAAAAGAACAGTGAGCAAGGTATCAGAAGACCTGGCTTTAATCCTCACTACCTACCCTACTTACTTCCTACTACAAGAGGCCATTACTTAACCAGTGGGTGCCACAATTTATCTTTTGAGAAGTTAATAATAAACAAATAACATCAGCTCTATTGTAAGAATCAAGATTAAAGGGTACAAAAGCACCTAGTGAATAAATTGCAATGTAATTATAACTTAGCTGCCTTGAAACACTCGCAAATTATTTTATACATATATTTTGTCTTTTCTAGCCAGCCAATAAAGGCTGGACATGTAGCTCAGTGGTTGAGCACTTGCCTAGCATGAGCAAGGCCATGGGTTCAAGTCCCAGAAAATAAATGACACTGTAAACCTTCTTTTTTAACCATACAATAAATTCCTAGAAAAGGTACATTGCACAATTTTTCTTTGTTATTTGTTCCAATGTTGAGTTCTTTGGGACAAATAATTCACATACAATGATTGTTTGAAAACTATTAAAAGCTGTTGAACCTCTTCACCCTTAAGGAAACTGCATGAACTACACAAACTTCATACACTGCATGCAGGTAGAGTATTCCTCGATTCCCATGGACAACATGCTTCTGGAGTTTTGGCTAAGCAAAGCTGTAGTTAGCCGAGTTCCTTGAGGGTGGAGATCATGTCCCATTAATCTGTTACCCAGCATGTACCACAGTGTTTAAGCATATAATACAAAGAGTCCAGTTGTAATTAACTGTATTGTGTCCCCTCACCCCCAAATTCCTGTTAAAGCCCTAACCCTCCAATGTAACTGCAATTGGACACAGGTCCTTTGGGGAAAGTATTAGGATTAAGTGAAGTTAGAATGTAGGGCCCTAATCTGATAGGGTGAGTACCCTTTTAAGAAGAAGGAGAGATTCCAGGGGCACACAATCTATCTATATGACACAGAAGAAAGAACAAGTGAGGACCTACCCAGAAGGTGGATACCTGCAAGCCTCCAGAACTGTGAGATAGTAAGTTTCTGTTCTTTAAACCACAATAGCAATTTCTTATGTCTGTCTAAGCTAATTAAGCTATTGGTTAATGCCTGAAGATAAATGAATGAAATGAAGTAAACTTTAATAAAATACTTAATGTTACCTCAACAATCTTTAATTTTGCTTATTAGTTTTGGGAAAATTTTCCAGAATCACCTAACCATCAGAATAGCACAATACAGTTGGGTATTTTTTTTTCTTTTATTATTCATATGTGCATACAAGGCTTGGTTCATTTCTCCCCCCTGCCCCCACCCCCTCCCTTACCACCCACTCCGCCCCTTCCCTCTTCCCCCAACCCCCCCAATACCCAGCAGAAACTATTTTGCCCTTATTTCTAATTTTGTTGTAGAGAGAGTATAAGCAATAATAGGAAGGAACAAGGGTTTTTGCTGGTTGAGATAAGGATAGCTATACAGGGCATTGACTCACATTGATTTCCTGTGCGTGGGTGTTACCTTCTAGGTTAATTCTTTTTGATCTAACAGTTGGGTATTCTAATGTGATCCTTCCATCCTCTTTCCTGAGCAAGCACAAGCAGTTCTTATTCAAAGAACATTGAAAGGATTAGGCTGCGGTAAGGAAGGAACCCTTATTAGCCAGAAAGAAGGGAAACTGTCCTGTTAGTGGTTCAGAGGATACCATATTATTCCACTAACAGTCAAGGTAAAATACAGTTGATGAAGAAAGACCTTCTGGACAGAAGAATTGTTGGCAGGAAACCACCTGAGTTCTCCTGCTGGGGCTTGCAATGGAAAAAGTGAGCTCAGAGAGGAATTCAGCACAGAATGCTCAGAAGTCATTTGGTTCTAGGTTTATAAAACTACAAAGCAGTGTCAGCCAAAAAAATGCAGATTACAGGACCTTTAGAGGCAATTACCCTTCTATTCTGGTTGTAGCTTAGAATTCTAAAGCGCCTCTGCCCTCATATTCATTATAGCAGACTAATGTTTAGAAACATTCCGAAGAGGCCCAGGTAGGAGAAGCCAAAGAAAGTTAGTGTTGAACCTTTGGGCCTAGATAACTCCATATTTCCCCTGTGCCTTCCCAGCAGAGGGAACTCTGACCAGGGACTCAAAAAAGAACAGCAAAGACAGCAGCAGACGGAAATCCTTACAAGCCCTTCTTCCTCTCTTCTCCTCAGCTAGAGAGGGCACCCCTTTAAGGGAAGAAAAAAAGCCTATTCAATGTATTATGCTGTTATTTAGCCAGCACAGTGTTTCAGAGCTAAAGCCTCTTTCTATGTGATTGATCCTGAAATTCATTGAATTAATCAAACTTTTGCAAGGAAAAATGAAACGCAGACTTTCATATGGATCTGAACAAAACCATAGTCTATAAAAAACACCCCACCCCACCGACTCCCAAAGACTTTATTTTTAAATATAGATCTACATTTTGAGCAAAGCCTGAATCAAGTCACATATTTAATGCCAATAGAGTGTAATTTTAGAGACCTGCAGAAATGGGCTGTGAGGACATAAAACTTATTTATATTTTTATTTATGTGACTTCCCACAGATTAAAAATAAAATTTTAAAGAGCACTTAAACTAATCTCTAAAATTTCAGACTCCTAGAGTTTGAAAATGTGCTTATCTCACAGTGCCCTCTAGTGTTCAAGTGGATCATTGCCTGAGGCGAAAAGTAAGCCACTCTATAATTAGACAAGTCTATAATTAACATGGACTAGTTCAAATATTTATTGAGAATCTACTATGTACCAGTTACTGTGGAAAGTGGTGAAATACAGAGATGTATTTGAAAAAGACATGGCATCTTTTTAAGGCAGTCAAAGTCCAGCAAGGGAGACAAATGTAAATTCAATTACAAAATTACTTAATCAAACAAACCACTTTACCTAGTTCTTCACTAAAATGAGACAGACATAGCTGGGTTGCCTACCTTTCCAAACCATGTTGGACCATTATTCACGCTCGCAGGTATCTGGCTGGCTGTGGATAGAACAACTTTGGCCAAGTACACAGGGAACATTCTGAAGTAAGAGTAAACATCCCAAGACGTACAGTGGGATTGAGTCATGGCTTTACAGACTTGAAAAAGTGCCTTTCAGTCAATCCCAAGACACTTCTGATCTTGTTACTTACAGGCCCACTATCACCAGATCCAACATACAAATCTGACATTCCTTAAGCTTTACACTTCTATCTGAAACAGTAGACTGTGTGTCTAGCACTGTGATGAAAGCTTTCAAACAGAATCAAACAAGAGTGGCAGAGTGGCTCAAGTGCCTGCCTAGCAAGTGTGAGGCCCTTAGTTCAAACCTCAGTATCGCAAAAAAAAAAAAAAAAAAAAAATCAGAATCAAACAAGACCCCTGAGCAGTCAAGAGACCCTAAGAATTTAAGAATTTACCATATATTGTTTTAGGATTCTTAGATCTGCAAATTCCTGCCTGGAATCACAGAAACACACACTGCCCTTAATAGGTGCATCATCAGGCCTTCTAGGGAAGCAAAGGGAATCTGAAGGAGTTGTGGAAAACTTTCAAGAATAAAAATGAAATTCAAATACCATCCAAGGAATTGAGTCAACAGCCACTGCAGATCAATAATAATGCTTTATTCTATGTTGTACTGTTTCTAAATTTTGTCATTTCCCATTCTTGTTACTGTTGTTTGTGGGGCCTGTGACCTGCTTCTAGCCAAAGAAACAAGGCCAAAGGGATAGTATGCATGCTCTTACATTACACAAGGCCATAAGATGTATCCTTCTGAGACTCTCTTGCTGGCTTTGAGAAAGCAACCAGTTGTGCTGGGATGGTCCATGAGGCAAAGAGAAAAGGATGGCCTTTTGAGACTATCACAAGGAATGGAAGGCTGTTGACAGCCACATAAATGAGGCAGCAGTGATACATCAGACCATTCCCTGGTCAAGCCTCTGATGAGACTGCAGGCAGCTAACCCACACCAGATTGTTTACACATAAAGACTGTGAGATCCTAAATGTGTGCTGCTTTAATTACGTTGCTAATATTATTATGTAGTGATAGATGACAAACACAGATTTCAATATACTTTTTATTTTAAAACATTTTAATATAAAAGTACAAATAAAAACTGAAATACTGAGGGAAGACAAAGCCACCCATCCTACTATAACCATGGTATCATATTTTTATTATATGCTTGGTATGTTACTTGCAGTCATTCTCACACTTTCATATTTTGCAATGTTTTCACTATAACATTTTCTCATGTTTTTCATAATATTCATCACTCACTTTTAATGAGTATATAATATACTATTTATCTATTTGACTAACTAGACTAGGGGATGACAAATGTAGCCCCACATTTGTAAATAAAGTTTTACTGGAACATAGCCATGTCCATTTATTTACATTTTGTCCATGGCTGCTTTCATGCTACAACAGCAGTGTTTATGACAAGATGGTATGGCCTGCAAAATCTAAAATATTTACAGTCTGATCTTTTAAAGAAAGTGTGCTGACTCCTGATCTAAACTTTTTAGTGGTTCATAATTTGGGCTATTAAAAGAAATGCCACTGGGAAAATGTTTTGCATATAACTTTTCATACTTTGGACAATGTAACTGGGGGTATTAACAAAAGTAGAATAACTGGATCTAGTTAATAAAGACATGTTTTGGGCTGATATTGTCCTCCACTCTGTCTTTGTAACATTCTATCTGTAATATAATAAGGATGGTGGTGATAAGAATGGAAAGGAAGGCCCAGTACTCTTGTAGGTAGCATTTCTCTGGTCCTTATTAATCCAGACATGTAAATTTATACTATTGATATTTATAGTTTTGATTTAAAGTCAACTGAAGAGGAAATAACAGTAAGTGCAACACAAAAACAACCCAACTGAAAGAAATCCTTTACTTTCACCTGGAGATAAAAAAGCAGGCCAAAGTAAACTCTCCAGGTGTCAAAGGCCATAGGAAGGCTGACTGTAATACCGAAAGGCACTAAGAGGGCAGAGGAAGGGAAGAGGTGGTGGTTTCAACAATGACAGCTACTGTGGGACTGAGAGAGGCAGCACATGGGTTCCACTCCTCTGAACACATATTCAGCATACACCTACATACAACTGCAATTAAACTGTCTCTCTGAAGAAGGTTCTAGAGTAAATACTCTATTGTTCAAATGTAATTTTTGAACAATACAAATTCTTCTATCTGGGAAAGTTTTATTCAGAAATAAAACTTATGAAATGGAACCAGCTAATCAACCTGGACTATCTTGAAATAAAAGGCAACGCAGGCTGATGGGTCTCAAATCCATCTTTTAAAAAAGATGATAAAGTTAAGTGTCGAGAAGTATAGATGTCATCTTCTAAGGGAAATATTCTGCAACATAAAAAAAAAAATGGATCAGGATGGATCTTTCCCTAGTAAAGAATGAAATTTAAAAGCAAAATTAGATAGTTAATATAATTATCCCAATTATGCCAACAAAGCATGTGAAGGAATCATATATAAAACAATTATTTTATTAAAATGTTCTGTCAAACTGTCAGCCAGTTAAACATTCCTTAAAGAAATGTTCTTTTGATTGAAACTTATTAGTTTTTACATTTCACGTCAGTTACTCACTAAATAATTAAATGCATGATAACTTCATGAAACATTCTGGAAAATGATGACACTGTTCATAGAGTAGGGGAATCAAATTATTTTTTGCAAATAACTAGAAAGATGTTACTTGGTAAAAAACATAGGCAGTTTTCTGAGGGATAAAAATCAAGCTTTTTTCTTGAATTTTTTCATATGGCAAAGGAAGCAGTAGTTCTATGAATAGCTTAATCCACACTTAGAACGATGTCATAATTTTCCTGTTCTCATTATTTCTGTCAGTTACCTGAGCGTCTGGCAGCATAAATCCATCAGTAAGTTTATAATAGACTATTGTAGAATCAGATTCCACTATAGCCAAAGTAAAAGACATCGGCAAATCTGGATCACCCTGCAATTTTCGAGATGCCTTCAAGATTTCTCTTATCCTGGAAATAAAGACACAATACATGTAGGAGTCACAGTCACTCAATTAATGATAAGAACACTGTAAAACCATGGGGAAGAGGTAGGAAATGAAATTATATTCACAATGCTACGGAGATGTCTAGAGGCTGTCTTCTCACATAGAAAATCCTGCAAATAAGAATTACCGAGTGACTTTCAGCCCTTTTCAAAAGAATCACCTGTCTCTCCAGACAGGTGACGTGGGTTCCACGTGCATTTGGGAACCCACAAAAATGGGACACTAATAGTTTTTGTGCATCTAAATTGGCTAAGGACAATGGGTGTTTATTACTCAATTTCCAAACTGATGTCTTACAGTGGAACAATGTGGTATTCAGGTTTGCTATTTTAAAAAACGGATTGGCATTTTTACACGGGGCTTATATTTACTACCTTTAAATAGCTATCTATTATTCCACCAATCCCTAATTTACACAACCACTTCCCTTTTATAAAGTTCTCTCAGGTTTTTAATTGAGGCAAGCAGAGAAAGTATGACACTACTAAAAATAAGCTACACTGGTCATCTTTCTGCACATGGGTATTTCATTTCAAATATTTCTAAGTCTTTTCAAGTATCAGAATCATTAGACTGAGTAGTTATTTTTATAATTATCAATATGAATTCTGACACTTCAAAAAAGCTAACAGAAAAATATAGAGTGAAATTAAACTTTTTAAATAAAAATTATTGGTAGTGTTAAGATTTTAGTTTGTTTGCCGTGGGAGATAAGTCTACCGAATCTAATATTTAGGTCTTTAAATCTAGCTTCTGTTAGCCACAATCTAAAAATCCTTATTACTTGCTCAATAGGACTGTGATTTAAAAAAAAAAAAAATCAGTGAAATGTAACCTCCTAAGAAGCTTTTCAACCAGGCAAATAAAAAATGATCAGCTGGGCTTTTTCATTAAGCCAACCAATTCTCCAGAAATTGGAATAAGATTTACTAGCATATTAACATTCTGCAACTGCATACATAAATATTCTGTGATTCCAATTGCACATATGTTAAACACACTTGGTATTATACGAAAGGGCTCTAATGTTAGTTTTCTGTATTCATATGGTTGGCTTTATGTCTGCCACTGAGCTCTTTGTTTTCTTAGCATCACATGTCTGTTTTGGTCATCTGATCTGCCTTGACCATGTTTTTTTGCATTAAATTGGTATTTTCTAGTGTATAGTTTTAATTTTTTTAACCATAGCTTTTGAGTTTCATAATAGTGGCTCTAGAGATTACTAATGCATCTTCATTTGTTACAATTTATATCAGATTAATAGTAACCTAATGCTGATAAAATACAGAAACTGTTTCAATATAGCTTTATTCCTTTCTCCCTCCCTCTTTGTACTGTTGTTATATATATAACTGTTACTTTATATATATAATCTTAAGTCTTCTTAAAAGTTAATGGGAGAAAGGAGAAAAATATATTAGAATCTCTTTATATCAACATAGTTAAGATTTATGGTATTCGTTATTTCTTCACATTGTTCTCTTGTGTCAATTACTTGTTCCAATATAGCTCTATTCCCTCCCTCATACTTTGTGCTAAAATTGTCATGTATGTTGCTCCTACCTATTCTATAAACCTGATCAGTTGATTTTTGACAAAAGTACAAAGGCAATTTAATGGAGAAAATCTTTTCAATAAATGGTGCTACAAAATGCAGACAGTATATACTATATACATAGAATCATTGTAAGGATAAAAGAAGTAATATATATGAAAGGGCTTTGCAAAATATAAAGCAATCACTGAACATAAGTATTATTACACAGTAATTACACCTGCTTTGCTACCTTGCAAATTGGGATGTAATGTTTGTCTCTGCCACTGACTCCATGGTACATCTAAAAACAGATACTAACCCATACTAAGGTACACTGTGCTATTAGTGGAAATACAGGAAATATTCATTTTCTGAAGTACCTAAATCTCAAAAATTGACCTGGCCCTTAAAAAATGACTTTTTGCAAAACATTACTTTGTGCTGAATTGCACAACAATAAGCTAGATTCCTGATTTTATGAGCAATTTACTTTAGAGAGAGAGATTCCAAGTAACCATAGGTATTAATCAGAAGCTTCACTGCTTTTACTGATGGGAAGCAACACCCCAATAAAAGACAGCATACTTTGATTATTTAATCAATGAAAATCTTTTAATATCACTAAATATTTTTCTTCTTCAAAAGTGGCAAATCACTATCCTCAATTAATAGTCATAGAAAAGATGAAAAAGAAGAAATAGACGGGAGATCGATAAGAATTTTAATTTACCCAAGTCTTCGTTACCACTGTGTGTCACAGTTATTTCTCAGTACGTAATATATCTAAAATCTAGTGTATATATAATGCACACAAAACCACTGCAATAGCACAGGTTAAAATCAATTTCACTAAGCATCCCTAACTTTCAGACTGTGGTGAGAATGGAATACAGACAAGAAAACCTACTAAGATTTTTACACATTTTCTGTTCCTTAAGATGTGACACTGTTTAAATAAAAAAAAAGTAAGTGTGTGTGTGTGTGTGTGTGTGTGTGTGTGTGTGTGTTTTCCTAAGATAGACTGTATGGAATTCTAGAGCATATGTAGAATTTTCAGATAGAAATTTCCATCTCATTCACTGCTCTTCTTCTCAGTTCGTATTTGTTTTCAGAGTTCTTTGATATAATAAGCAAAACATTTTCAGAGTTACTTCAAAACCCATGTGGGAAACCCTAAGGTTTGAAAATTAGCTCAAAGTTGTAAAGGGGGTTTTGTTTTCAGAGTTGAGAGAAATCACTGTCAAAAATGAAATGGAAGTTCCCATCTCTGAGGTCTTGTTTACTATTTGGCAGTTTTTTGGGGGAAAACTACCAATGAATCTTCACAGTAATAACAAAATAAGACAGTTTATCTTCCTGCTACTTAGCGCATACTTAAGAAGTCTTATGAAGTTTCTTGTTCAGGATCTTTTCTAGTCTATTTTTAACATATGTTTAAAGTAGATCCATCGTCTTTCCCCATTCCAGACTTTTCTTGTTTTCTCCTTTAGAGTATACTATATAAACTCATAAAAATGTTCACTTTGCCTTTGAATCAACAGACTGGGCTTTCTTAATCTATTAATCTATTAATAATAATATTAACAAAAGGTTATAAAGTTCTACTTAATAAGCCATACACAATTTGAAGGATGCCAAGATGGTGAAGCATCACCAGAATATTATAACTTCAATTTCTAGTAGATTTGAAATCTTAATTTAGAAACCACAGAAATCAACAAGTGAAAATATCCTATACGAGGAATTTCAATTTTTCTACTCAGTTAAGTCTCAAGGAAAAAACCCCACTGAAAAAAAAAACACGTATCAGTAACAATCATAGTTGTTAACAATAACAAAACTGGATGTTCAAAGCAGAGTTTTACTTCTTATAATTGTTCATAGATGAGTTCTACATACTGAAGAATATGGGTATTTCTAAAGCTAAATATAATCAACTTGACAACAAGCAGTTAACACACTGACTAAAATCCTTAGTCCAAATTACTTCAATGCTTTCCGTAAATTTTAGCATTGATTTTTTTATAATGATCCAAAAGAAGAGACTAAGTAATCTCTGGAGAAACTGAAGAAAATAATACTTTTAACTAAAAATGTTGAATAGAATGCATGTACCAAGAGTTAAAATTAGTACTACTTTCAATCCACAGAAAGTAGTTATCTCCTGTCCTCCTCAATGTGGTCAAATTGGAATATGCTCTAGCCTTATCCATAACTCCTTGATCTAACTAACTCCTTGATCTGCTGCATTATGATAAAACAAAATGACACCCCATAATGCAGTGCTGAAGCACAATGAAATATTCAGTACTGAAAATGCCATGATTATCCACAGGCTTAGTCCTAAAGAAAAGCCTCAGGGATAGCAGATTACCTCCTTGGGAAGCGTGCCAATGCCTTCAAAGTAAAAACAAAACAAATCAAAAACAAAAAAAATAAGGAAACTGAAATCTCAAGGGGATTTACTGAACAATCAAGTGCCTATCCACCTAAGGGGAAAGCATTCTGCTAATATAAACTGCAAGCCTTTTTTTGAGGTAAAAGAAAAATGCTATGCTAGATGAAAGAAGTTGCCAGAACTGGAGGCTTCACCAGCAAGCAAGCAACAGATTTCCAACAGAGGTCGAGTGAGGACACTCATCCTGATATGAAGGGAAGCCTAATGACAGAAGTCATTTTATCAGTTAAGACTTCCAGCCCCAAATAAAAGTGGCCAAGAAACTTTATAAGACTATGCTCCCAGAGAACGGAAATAGTTTCAAATACAGGGAAATAATAAATAGGTATCTTTCAAAGAAAATATGTAGCATTTTAGTATTAAATCCTGGAACTAAGAATATCTCTGGGAATGTTGTAAAGGAGGAACTTGGTTCTAGTAACCCTTTATCCTACCATGAATGCATCCTTTCCTAGGACACCAGAAAAAGAGAAGAGGAAAGGACAGTGTGAATATGGGTGAAAAAGAACTGAACCAAAAGGTTAGGAGGCTGAATAGAGCACTGTTACAAACTTTGTCATATTTTTTAAGCCTCAGAAGGTCGTGCATATACTATTCCTTCAGAAAATATTAACTTGATGCTAACTGCTGCTCTCTAATGGGAGAATAAAACTGACATAGTGTCCATTTCTGAATGTTGGTGGGAAAATAATGCTGCTGGAGTATGAGGTGATTAGTGCTATTGTTTCTTGAAGGAAAGAACACATCTTGTCTCATCTAAAAATACTTTCTAAAGCTAATGTAAAATAATTTTTATATGTTTGCATTAAAATACTATGTTAACTTATGTATTCAGATGGTATATCCATATGGAAAGGAACTGAGATTGTTTTCTGCCTAAGAGAATCTAAGGAATTCATGACACAACTGTGATAAGTGCCTGTGGAGATAAAGTACATTTTCCCTGGGCACAGTAGTGGCATGAAAT